TGGATATTTCTATGGGAAAAAATAAACTTGATCACTACCTCAAATCTTACCTAAAAGCTAAATCAGTATGGGTCAGACTAAAGTAAAGTAAAAAATGCATTGCTTCAGAGAAAAATAGAGGGGAATATCTTTGTGATTCAGAACATGAGCAAAATTTTTTTAGGTCACAGAAAGCAATAACCATGAAAAATGGACAAATTCAACTTCATCAAAATTGAAAACTTCTGCTCACAAAAGACACCATTAAGAAAACAAATAGGCTAGCCACAGACGTGGAGAAAATATTCATAAAACATAAATCTGACAAACGGGTTGGTATTCAGGATATGTAAAGAATGCCCACAGCTCAATAATAAAAAGACAAGTAGCCCAATAAAATATTTTTGGATTTGGTTAAGATTTGGATAGCCACTTCACGAAGTAGACATATGACTGGCCAATACGTGCACAACAAAGAGCTTAGTATCATTAGTGATCTGAGAAATGCAAATTACAATCATGATGACTCACCATCAATTTCAGTGAGGAGGTGGAGCTACCATACCTCTCATGCATTGTTGGTCAGAGTGAAAAATGGTGCAACCACTCTGGGGAAAGGTCTGGCAATTTTAAAAAAAGAAAATTAACCATATACCTACCCCATGACTCACAAATTCCACTCTTGGGCATTTATCCATTAGAAATGGAAACACATCTACAAAAAATTTATGCCAGGTTTATGCACAATAGCCTCAAACTGGAAATTGCCAAGGTGTCCATTAACAGAACGAACAATGTGGCATAATTATACAATGGAATACCAGTGAGTAATTGTGAGCAACAAAATATCGATTCATGCAACAAAATGCAACAATTTTTAAAAAATATTTTATTGATTTATTTGACAGAGAGCACAAGCAGGGGGAGCTGCAGAGAGAGAGGGAGAAGTAGACTCCCTGCTGAGCAGGGAACCCAATGCAGGATTCGATCCCAGGACTCTGAGATCATGACCTGAGCCGAAGGCAGACGCTTAACCAACTGAGCCACCCAGGTGCCCCAAAATGCAAGAATGTTAACAATATCATACTAAGTGAAAGGAGACTTACAGGAAAGAATACACATAGTATGACAGCCATTTAAATGAAATTCTGGAGCAGGGAAAACTAATCAGTAGTGGGAAAAATCAGAACTGGGGTTGACTCTGGGGAGTTGGTGATGGAGCAATTAAGTGGAAAGGGTCATGGAGAACTTTCTGAGGTGATGTTAGTGTCCTACATCTAGATAGGGGTTTGGATTTCACAGATGTATTCATTTGTCATAACTCAGTGAATGCACAATTAAGAGTTTTATACTTTTATATAAATTTTACACCTAAAGAAAAGAAAACTAAATAAACATTGAACTCTAGTTAATTATAGTTGTAGTTGTAGAGGACAGTGACTGTGATCTGCATTGTATATTGCACAAAAAAATGCACAAAAAAATAAGATGGATTAGTGGATAGAGGAATGAATATATGGATAATTATGTGATACAAATAAAATGTCAATGATAAACTCTACCCAGGGCATGTAGAGATATTCACTGTAAAATTTGAATTCTTTTATAATGAAATATTGGGGAGAAAGAGCAACAAAAGAAGGCAAGGAACACAACGTTTTGGGGGTTGACTCCTTGATTTCTTTCATTTGATGAAAATATTGATGTTCTTATTCTAGTTGAAGATTACCCATATTGTTTCAGGGGACGCTTGAATGATACTGTCTCTGCACTAAATAAATCAGAGGCTTTATCTTCTTCTGTGAAGATATGACTTATGTTCTAAGTCTTGAGTCTACTCTAGCTGTTGTTCCTGATGTGTTGGCTGCAACTGTTTCTAAATTGTTTGTCTCCTCCACATACATCCACCCCATAAAGCTAAGAGATGAGATCAAGAATTAGAGTATGTATGGCCACATTCCCTCCTGTGCCAAATCCCTACAATATGATAGAAAAGGTGGTAAACAAGCAAAATAGCCTCTCCTGGGATCTACGGTAGCATGAAAAGTAAGAATAAGTGTCACCATCAGACCAGGAGTTGCTGGAGATTCCAGAAAGATTCAAAAGAGAAACACCCATGCAGGAGAGCATAGCTCCAACGGATGGAATGGTTTGGAAGTATTCTAAGAAACAACAGAAGAATTAACTGTGGGGCTGCATCCAAACCTATGAAACCTTATTGGAGTGTATAAAAGAAGACCTATACGGAGAGGCGTCGTGCGCTTCCAGATTCAATATATAAATGTGCCATTTCTTCAAAGCCAACCTATAAATTTAGTGCAACTGTTACCAGAATTCCTACAGGATTTTTATTATGAAGATTGACAGAGTGATTCTAAAGTTCTTATCAATAAAAGAATATGAAAGGATAGAAAAAAGATGAAGAGTTATGGTGGAAATTTATCTTCCAAGATAGCAAAAACACTCTCTAGTAGAGAATCTAGAAACACATTCATGTAGATGTTTAAATTTGGTTTACAGTATAATTCGTGTTTCTAATGAAAGATCAAGGTGCTGGCAGATCCAGTGTCCGGTAAGGGCCCACTTTCTGGTTCACAAATGGCTGCCGCCTCGTTGTATCCTCACGTGGTGGAGAGAGATCATCTCTTCTTTGAAGGGCATTCATCCCATGGTCTGGGCTCCACCCGTGTGATGTGATTATCTCCCAAAGGCTTCATCTCTCACATACCATCATATATTGGAGATTAGGCTTCAGCATATGCAGTTTCGGGAGGGGGACACCAACATTCAGTCCATGGTACCAGCTAACCTGGCTGTCTCCCACTTTTCCTACGGAGTGCTGGTAATGGCAGAATGAGAAAAGCCACCATCAGCCCTGGGCTGCGCCTGGAGACGCTTGGGTGGCCAATCAGCACGTAAGAGAGCAATCCAGGTGGCCAATCAGACAGCACGTAAGAGAACCAGGTCATTGTCCTGCAGGGCAAGCAGTTGTGTCAGAGATGGCCACTTTTTCTATGTTATTGATTTTATTTTTATTTCTTGGGTTTAGTATTTTAAGTGTTGGTTTGCGGTATGTGAAGTTTTAAATTAGGGTGACCAGTTCCCTAGGATGTGGTATTGGAGTAAAGACCTGAAAGAAGCCAGAGAATGAGTCAGGCATCTGTCCAGGGGAGGGCATTCCAGGCAGAGGGGATGGCAGGGCAAAAGCCCTGGGAGGGAGCCAGGGGGCTGTGTGGCTGGAGGGCAATGAGCAGGGATAGACAGGTCAGAGAGGTCACAGAAGCCAGATCCTGTTGGCCTTCAGAAGGAAAATCAGGTAGGGGGCTTCCCAGAGAGTGTGGCAAGTGAGTAGGCTAATAGTCTCCATGTGCTTGGGTATCACAGGAATGGAAGCCAGCAACAGTGTTGTAGATGGTGGACAAGGAATTGAGAGGAAAAGGGAGAATGGGGTTTGCCTGAAGATGGAAAACATTTTAGAAAAGTTATGCTTGGAGGAATTAGATTATTGTCAATTTTCAGAGCCTGGACTTTCTAGGTGAGCATTCTGTAGAAAGCCTCTCTCTGTGGTGCTGAAGGAAGAGGTGGGGGTGGGGGTGGGGGTAGGCTTATCTCCTGCGTGGATTCCATCAGCACCCACCTCACTCCTTGGCTTGAGGTTTTCTCAGCTTGTGTGAAGCGTCAGGCAAATGCAAATTCAGGCACCTGTTCCTCCCAGTGAGTTGCTTCTCCAGCACCTCCATTATAGAAATATGGAACAACCACTGTCCTCAGGTCCTCCTTGGTCCAACCATGGCCATAGCATCAGTGGGTGAAGTGGTGTGTCGTTGCCCTCAGGGGAAGGCGAAGGTCCTAGAGAATACCCAGGATTTGGAGGTAAACTACAGGCATTATTCCATCATTTGTTGCTGTTCTTTGTGTCTTAAAAATGGGGAAAATTTGGGAGCCTGGGTCAACCTGATGTCCTATTGTAAGTCACAGTGGCAAGTGGAAGAGTTGAGAGGTTAATTGGCATTCGGTGGAAGGGAGGTGGACCACAGCTGTTTCTTATTTGCCCAAATGTTTATGCATGCGAATGTTTAGTCAGAGAAGTGGCCAGTGTGGTTTTCGACCTCAACGTTAAAGTGAATTCAGATTTTAGCCCACAGGATAAGGAGTGGTAATAAATAAAAATCTGTAATTAATAAAACCATCTAAAATGGGGGAGAGGATTCAAAAAAGGGTCTTTGTTCTCCACTCTGATTCTATGCAGACTCCTTTCGGATCAAAGTGTTCTTTGTTTTTAACTTCCTATTGCCTCCCTTTGCATTAATGAGAGAACACTGTCCTCCTCTTTCCAAGTTAGGGAGCACAAGAGGCAGACTTGAGTTAGATCCATGGTGTGCAGTTCTTGGAAACTGATGATGCACATTGGGCAATTTGATTTGTGACAATTAACCATGAAATATAAAAACCCACCTAGTATTGTACTTTAAAATGAGCTCTGAGCTTGAGACTCTCACCTACATTTCCCTTCATATAACAGAAGTGTCTGAAATGGTTTCAGGACTAAAGCACAGATAAAATCAGGATGACAAGAGGATCTGTGTGTGTGATCTCTTCCAAAATCAGGGAAGATAAAAATACACACATGGCCCTTTATTCCCTGGGTTAAACCTAAGGGTGATTTGTTATCGTCTCACTCCTTCTGATTGAAACTAGGAAGAATAATGCTCTTGAGTCTTTTCTCACTGAAATGTCAGGTGCTTCCTGGAGCAAATTCTGTGGTAGAGAGGAAAACCTGAGCTGACTAGTTCATGGAACTGACCCTCATTTTCTCTTTCAGTGGGGGAAAAAAAAATCCACAGTCACCTGTACGCCAGTGCCCTGTGGTAAATCTTGGAGACTCAAAGTCAAGATAAACGCTTATATTTTTGACTTTGAAATTACAATCATGTATGACAGAATGGTTTTACCAGATGAACAGCACAAGGTATGGCCTGTTCTAGTACTCTTCTTTCTAAATTTCTTTCATTTCTTTCTAGCATAACACAGCTGGTATAAACTGTGAAAACTGTGCTAAAGGTTATTACCGCCCTTATGGTGTTCCAGTCGATGCCCCCCACGGCTGCATCCGTAAGTTTCATTTTGACTTGGGGTGTCTTAGACTGTCTCTACTGTACTGTTTCGGAGTGGCCATCGGGCTAAACTCTGATGGGCTGGTCCTTCCCTTCCTTCCCTCTTTCTTCACACTGTTGATTCTGCTCCTTCCAGCTGTGTGATGCCACACAGCTACATAATCTCCCTGGGCTTCTGATTCCTTGTATGCAGATGGGAGTGATAATGCAGGCACATTGTGAAGATAGTGTGATTTGATTCCAGACCACCATGATAAAGCATTTATTGCAATAAAGTGGGTCCACTGAAGGTTCCGGTTTCCCAGTGTGTATCAAAGTTATGTTGACACTATGCCATTGTCTAATAAATGGCATTATGTCTAAAAAAAAGTATGTACCTTAATTAAAAATATTTTGTTGCCAAAAAATGCTAGCCACCCTTTGAGCTTTCAGCGAGCTGTCATCACGGGCCACAGATCACCATAACAAATATGATAATGGAGAAGTTGGAAATAGTGTGAGAGTTATCAAAATGTGACAGGGACACAAAGTGAGCAGATGCTGTTGGAAAAAGTGTGCTGATAGACTGGCTCAATGGAGGGCTGCCACCAACCTTCAATTTGTAAAAAAACATAATATCTGCAAAGCACAATGGAAAAAGCACAGTAAAACGAGGCGTGCCTACATATTCCATAAGATGGATGACATGCCATCAGAAGAACCTAGGAGGACATCAAGCTTTGGGCTTGTCACACACCAGCCCTCTAACAAATGATAGTTCCTCCATTTTCTGTTGTTTTCACATGTTTCTATGATCTCCAATAATTTCAGATTTTTGTATTAGCATCCAGGCAATATAGTAATGATTTCACAAGGATTTGATAGTGGTCATGATATCTAAAACAGCTGTGATTTATTGGGTACTTCCTATATGCAAGGCTTTGTGAAGTAATTCCACACATGTGCGATTATCCCAACCCAGTTAGGACACCATTATGATTTTCATTTTTAGATATGGGGAAACCAGAGGCTCTCAGTAGTTCAGTATGTTGGCCCAGCTAACAGAACCATTAAGTGGTAGCTCCAGGTACAGGTCCAATCTGTCTGCCGACTTTGTGCCATATCCATGATACTGCAGAATGTCACTGGGTTTTCCCCAGGGAATTTAGGTCTTAGGTCAGACTATGGACTTTGCCCTACATGTGTCATTTCTTTTATGCTCTCTGGCTGTCACCATTGGAAAACAGTTCAGGCCTCTAGTTGGCTGCTGTGCCCACCGCCCCCCCCAATTCACTCATCATGTCATTAACATCAAAGGGCATCCAAGTTCAAAGAATGTATGAACTCTGATTTGCCTCTATGTTGGGCAAAGAGTGTTCCCGTTTTCCCTCCCTCTCCCACATCATCACATGAGGTATGTCCATCACTTTTCTTGGGCCCATGAAGAACAGGCCTTAGCAAAGGAGACCAGGACATCGCAAATGCATTGCGAATCCCTTCCCCGGAATCACTGTTCTCCATGATTCTCGGCTCCCCATCACTGTTTTAGGTTCTTTCTTCATAACTGAAGTGGTCTCGCAGTCGCAGTCTCACAAGGATGTTACAAGCAGAGCATAAAGAATCTACAGGACCCATCTTTCCTAAGCAAGTTAAGCAAAGGACACCAGATGAAGCCAGCCCGGGGGGAATACTTGCTGCCCACAGCTCCTCCAACTTTCCAGTTCCTTATGGGGCATGTGCTTAGCTGGGTCCTGACAGTGTTTTTGCTGTCCATGGTCAGGACTTGCCAGGTCAAGCGAAACTCCCAAGGGAGGAGTCATGTTCATACCTCTTGAACCCCAAGTATGTCTGTCTGGAATGCAGACCTAATAGTCGTGTTGGTTGCACAAGTGCCTTCAATAAGTCGTGTCACTGGAATCTAACATTTGGATTGTGGGTGTGTCAATAGACATGTCTATGACAATGTCTAATGTCATGTCTAATGTCTAATGACATGTCTGTGTCAATAGACACAGTTGGCTTATGGCAGTGGAAGTGGGGGTTGTGCTCGACAGACCTTCCAGGGGCTGCAGCACACCCCCTCCCCAGCCCCTCTGATTGTTCTGTGCAGACCTTGCCTTTGATGCACCAGCCACACAGCGCTCAGTGTAAAAAACTGTATTCTCAAGAACTCAGCACAGGTGCCTTCTAAATAAGCTTATCTCTGAGGGTCCCTGGGATTTGGTCGATGCACACGATAAGCAGGTAGGAAGTGGAGAACAGGCTGTGCCCTTTCAAGAATAACCGGGGGCGAGAGTGATGTAGTACAAAACACTGCCTGCGAGGTGCTGGGGACAGAGCTGCCTTCCTGAGCGCACCAGCGGACTGAGCCTCTGAAAGCCGGCGTTTCCCGTAGCTTGCAGCTGTAACCCCGCACACGCGGATGACTGTGAGCCGGGCTCAGGCCGCTGCACTTGCAAGCCGAATTTCCAAGGAGACAACTGTGAGAAGTGTGCCGTTGGATACTATCACTTCCCCTTCTGCCTGAGTAAGTAGCTGGGGCAGGTGGAGGGTCGTCCCTTCCGGGCACGTAGCCAGTGCGTTCACAGCCGGGGGCGCAGCGGGCAGGGTGGAGGCACCGCAGACACGGGGTGGGGCGAGCACGTAGGTTGTATTCACGTGAAAGTGTTTGCAGAAGTTCAGAACATATTTATCAGAGTACTTTCTTTCTTTCTTTCTTTTTTTAGATTATATTTATTTATTTATTTATTTATTTATTTATTTGACAGACAGAGATCACAAGTAGGCAGAGAGGCAGGCAGAGAGAGAGGAGGAAGCAGGCTCCCTGCTGAGTAGAGAGCCCGATTCGAGGCTCAATCCCAGGACCCTGGGATCATGACCTGAGCCAAAGGCAGAGGCTTTAACCCACTGAGCCACCCAGGTGCCCCTATCAGAATACTTTCTGTAGTCTTATTTATGCCCAGTGATTATAGACACTACCATCCCAGTCGGTCAGAAAGGTCCCATCCTGGCAATTTCAACTCAACAGGATCCATGGGTGTGGTTTTTCTTCACAAAAGAACTTGGAAGAAGTGTCAAGGGTTCCAGATGTTCATGGGCACACATGTAGTGTGTGTCAGTGTTCTGGCTGGCTGGAGGATGTGTTGTCCCTTTCCCATGGTAACCCCGGCCAGGTGACCGCGATCCCCCCCACCCCTCCACAGTGATCAAAAGGAATGTCTCAGCATCTTGGAGAGAGAAAATATATATCTGGTAGAAACACCACAGAACAGGAAACAGGAGAGTCTGAAATCAGCCCTGCAAATTGTAACGAGAGCCATGGTTCTGTTTGTTCCACTGAAGGGTGAAAACTGCACTTCTGTGTTAGGACAGAGAAGCAGTCTTGACCCTCCTCCACACCCCGCTTGCCGCATTGGTTCTTGTATTCCCAGCTTTGCAGGGCAACGAAAGCATAGTGTGTTGTGGGGACATGGAGAGAAGGACATATACGAATGGGATGGCTCTATGTCCTGGCTCATACCTGCTGTCCCAGGAGAATCATTAAACTAGCTCCCACTTTCCACATCTAGTAGCCTAGTCTGGATGATGAATTATATGATCATTTTATATTGAAAGAAGCCAATTTTTTAAGCAGCAGTATTCAGTAACACTGAATTGAGGCTCAATGCATTTAGAATCTAATTATTAGATACAGGCTAAGCAGAAACAGCACTTGCCTTTTTAGTGACATAAAGAAACCCGAAACAATTTTATGGCATACACCAAATTTTAGGGGGGAAATTTTGAAAAAATTAAAAAAAAAACTGTTCTCAATTTTACATTAAAAAAAAACCAATAAAGATGCTAAAGAAAACTAGCTTACCCCTGCTTAGATGGAGGCATAGCTATTGTGAGCACGAAATATCCATTTCTGTTTGTCTAAAATACAAATCAGAATGTCTGACCAGTCTGGTTTCAGCTGCATACTCAATATAGCAGTATTATCTGTCTCTAAATTAGGCTCCATATGCTACTTTTAATGAAGTTAGAAGGGCTTCTTTCTAGTTTGTGCAGTTTAGTATTTTACTTGACTGTCTCCTTAATCTTTCTCTGTATTTTTTTTAAAAACGACTTTTCTAGGAATTCCCATTTTCCCCATTTCTACTCCAAGTCCTGAAGATCCAGTAGCTGGAGATATAAAAGGCAAGTACTCTCTTTTGGTTTAACTTCAATGGAAGTGTTGTGCTCCGTATTTTTTTTTTTTTCTACTTCCTATGCCCGCTACTCTGCCCACGTTCAAGTAGTCCTTACTGGAGCCTGGCAGGTGCCCTGCAGGTATCTCCCATCTCAGTTCCTCACCACCCATCATTCTCTATGCCAGTCTGTCTTTTGCATGATGCTCCCTGATTAAGGAGACTAAACGGAGCTTGAATTGTATGTCTCTTGCTTGCTTGGAAACTTCCAGTGGCAGTCAGTTGCCTACTGCCTTGTTTGGGTCTACATACAGAGACCCTGAGAAAGGATTTGAGTCCACGCTGTTGATTCTGGAGATGATCCCAGAAGACATCAGTAAGGGAATGAGTCAGGGAGTGAAGGGAGCTGTTATAAAGATGCATTAGCAAGCTAGGTCCTCCTCCAGAACCTGGAACTCTATCCCTCTAGGCAACTCTAGGAGACAGCCTAGAACTCGCTCAGCGTTATTCTAGCTGACGGGATAACCTTCGTTACCTGCCACCAATGGAGGGCTGCTTCTGGGGCTCGGTGTGCTGGGAGGCTGAGCAGCTCCTGCAACCAGATGGGTACCCCTGGGCACGGAGTGGTGGAGATGTGCAGGGAGCGGCCCTTGGGGTAGAGAGGTGCGTGCCGAGAGGGCGTGGGTGCTCCGCCCACCACATCAATCATTCTGCATCTGTTTTAGGATCACCTGTTATGTGTCCAGCACCGTTCTGGCTGCTGGGGACTTAGCAGTGAACAGAACAGGGAAAAATCTCCTGCTCTCCTACAGGTTATATTCCAGTGGAGGGACTCATATGATAACAAAAGTAATAAACAAACTAAACAAATGAAATCTCTAATACATTCGATTATGATATGCAGGGTTGTGTCCTGTACAAGGGGGCTACTAAGGGGGGTGGAGATAGCCTTTCTCATTGTAGACACAAACTAATGCATACGAGGAATATTCTAGGTCTTGAGGTTTGATTCTGGAGCTGGGGGCAGTGTCCTAGGTAAGCCCACAATAGCTCACACAGGGACACACCCACTCAGGAAGGCCCCCTGCTCCAACATCTGGGCACACCACATGCACACAGCCCATGACTGTGCCCCATCTGGACCATGCCCACCACACCCACTGAGCTTGCTTCTCTGATGGTCTCATGCTCCTCTCACCAGTGGGGGGGGAGGTAGTGCCAGGGGTGTGTGAGCACATGTGCCCCTCCTCCTAGTGTGTGCAGGGTGTGGGTGGGCAGAGAGGGGACACTTGGGACCAGACAAGAAGATGGTCTCTGGAGAGCCCTTTTCTGATGCAGATTTCATTTCTGCAACAATACAGCAGCTCAGGGGGTATGCTGCCGGTGGCGTTGGCCATGAGTGCCGTGCAGAACTTAAGTCCCAGAGACAAGGGAGGGAATGTGAGGCTTACAGATTTCAATAGGGTCGTCGGGGGGACCTCATTGAGGAGATAAGCAAGGACCTGAGAGGGTGAGGAGTGAGCTCTGCAGGTGTCTGGGAACAAGCAGCCAGAGCCAGGAAAGAGCCAGTGTGAAGTCCTTGGGACGCATGCTGGGGTGTTCACTGAACAAACAAGAGACCAGAGTGTGAAAGCAGAGACCAGATGGCAGGCCACTGTCGGCCACTGCAAAGACTTACCCTTCTACTCTCCATGAGAGAGGAGCCACGGACCGTTTGCACAGAGAAATGATATCGCATGAGGCGCTCTGTGGCTACTGTGTTGAAAACCAGTTGCAGGAGGAGAAAAGAGAAAGCAGGGAGATACCCTGGAAAGCCATAGTGATAATCTATAAGGGAGAAATGATGGTGGCTTGGACCTAGGAGGTGTCAGTGGAGGTGACAAGAAGCGGACAGAGTGTGGGTATAATCTGAAGCTAGACCCAACAGGACCTGCTGGGGGGGGGCGCTGGCCTGGAAGTGGGATATGAGAAGAAGAGAGGCTACTGGGTGACTCCAAGACTCTGGGCAAATAGGAGGAAGAGGTGCCATTTGTTGAGGCAGGAAAGGCTGCAGAAGACAAGTCAAGGCAGGGCTGGGAGAGGGCAGGTGGGCCGGGGTGATGGGAACGGAGGGACCCTCTCTCCTGGCTGTTCCTTTTTTTTTCTCTGTGAAATAAGAATCAAGGTCAGGGCAGGAGGTGAGGTTGGGGAGGAAGCTGCTGGCTTGAGGAGATGGAAGATATGCTTCATCCCAGGATGCAGGAGAGAAAATGGGCTTGGGAAATGTCCTAGGATTGGGGGGCACCCTGGAGGGCTCACCTCAAGCCAGGTAATGTGATCCAGCTTACCTTCCGACTTTCTTTCCTGCTTGTGCCCTATGCACCCCAGCTCCTCGGACCAAACCACGGTTCTGTGCGTTGTTACACCGAGTATTATCAAAGCCTTCACCGGACACTTGATCCCTGGAGGAGGGCAGCCATGCTTCTCCTTCCGGCAGTTCCCGCTCTGCCCATAGCGGGTGGGGTCCTGTCCGCAGTGGCGGTCTGCTAATGCTTCCTTAATGCTTGTTCATTGACTAGAGTGGAACTCAGCCTTTGAGCCTTGATTACACCACACATCTTGGGTTTTCTTCCACAAGAATGTTTTAGAACTCCCATTTACCGTCTGTTTCCAGTAATCCTTTTGTTATTCAATTCCTTTTTGTCCCCAAGCAGACTGGCAGTGACTTTGGGGAAAAGAAATTTAATTGAACTTGAAGGGATGGCCTGACATCTGTTACAAAAATACAAGGGACGCCTTAGAACATGGCCTCAAGGAAAAGAAGTTTCAAGGAACGTAGTGAGATCTGTTCGGGAGTTTGAATGCACAGATATTGTTTCAATTTGGTCTTTTATTATTGCATTTTAAATACCCACTTTGGGGCGCCTGTGTGGCTCATTGGGTTAAGCCTCTGCCTTCTGCTCAGGTCATGATCTCAGGGTCCTGGGATCGAGCCCCTCATCGGGCTCTCTGCTCAGCAGGGATCCTGCTTCCACACACCACCCCCCACCCCCGCTTGCCTGTCTTCCTACTTGTGATCTCTGTCAAATAAATAAATAAATCTATAAAAACAAAACAAAACAAAACACAACACTCACTTTGGGGCCCGAGTCCCAGTGGTGAACATTAGAAGCCCAAACATCTTGGGGCACCTGGGTGGCTCAGTTGGTTAAAGAGCTGACTTTTGGTTTCAGCTCAGGTAATGGTCTCAGGGTCCTGAGATGGAGCTCCACCTCAGGCTCCCTGCTCAGCGGGATTCTCTCTCCCTCTGCTCCTCCTACTCATGCTCTCTCTCTCTCAAAAATACATAAATACATCTTTTAAAAAAAAACTCCAACATCTTAACTGTCAGAAGATGCAGAACACTGGGTAATAGTGGGAACACCTCTACCTCTGAGAAGTTTAATTTATTAAGGCCCATTGGTGTTTCGTGTTTCCACATTTTCTAGTACAGTGGTTCTTAAACAGGGCTGTGTTTTAGAACCCCTTGCTTTTACAAAGTAGGAATTCCTCTGCAGCACCCCAGATCCTAATCTAGCTTTTCCAGGAAGAAGTCCAGGCTTATATTTTGAACAAGTTTTCCAGATGATTCTGATATATGTCTCTTGTTCAGAACCACTGCTCTCATTACTGGAAATCCCACTTAGTGGTTGGCAAACCGTTTCCCCCAAATGGTCAGATGGTAAATACTTTTCAATATGTAGGCGAAGTTGCAAATACTTGATGTTGTTGTTGTACCAGGAAAGCGACAGTGGACAACATGTACGTGAAAGATCTTGGTTGTGTCCCTGTAAAACTTTTTTTTTTTTTAAGATTTTATTTATTCATTTGACAGAGAGAGAGCCCAAGTAGGCAGAGGCAGGCAGAGAGAGGGGGTGGGAAGCAGGCTTCCTGCTGACCAGAGAGCCCAATGCGGGGCTCGATCCCAGAACCCTGAGACCATGACCTGAGCTGAAGGCAGAGGCTTAACCCACTGAGCCATCCAGGCGCCCCATCTGTAAAACTTTCTTTACTAAAACAGGATGGATTTGGTTCTCAGGCCATCATTTACAGATTGTGGGATTATATCAGAATTTCTGGGTTTAGGATTCTATACCCAGGCAATTGTATTTTACCAGGAGATTCCAACACAGCCAAGACTGAGAACCACTTTACTGGATACTCCATATGGTCAGTTCCAGACGGGTTGACTTGAAGCAGAAGAACAGAGCAGTTTTGCAGATCAGAATGTTTTCATTATATTTCATGACCTTGGATATCATCAAGGTTTTCTGGGTCCAAGGGATCATTTATACCCACTTAAGATTTATTTCCAGGAAGTCAGTGTATCATCAACACGTCTTCAAGGGCTCCTTTTGAAAAATGACGGCATATGCAAAACACACTCTAGAGAGACACCAGCCTGCAGTGCAGACACCTGCCTCTGAGTTCAAACAAAGAATGGGGGACCAGCAAACAACAGGGCAGAAATTTGCCCTAAGAGACTGAGGCCATGTGGGCATGATCGTTTAAGGCTGCCCCTGTGGCCTGAAGACATGGGTGCCTGGGAGGTTTCTTGACAAATATCATGAAAAGGGTTTGAGTCCCCCCCGTCACCTTGTAATTAGCTACTTACCTTTGCCAGAGCTTTGAGGTCACTGTGGTTGGGGCTGGAGGACATGTTCACCATGGGAACTCAGAGACTGGGGTGAGAGCTGCTAAGACATGCTTTCCTGGCTGTGTCTTTGCCTGGGCCCAGGCATGTCATCTTCTTGGCAGGGTGGGCCAATCACTCTTGTCATGGAGACCTGTCAGATGAGGCTGAAAAGGGGATAGGCAAATTCTGCTGTCTCCGATTCGAAGGCTCTGCGTGGATGCCCATAAAATAGAACTTAAGGAATGGTGTTTACTAAAAAGAATTGAAGGTATCCAAGAGTCTTTTTAGTGTTTTCTTCCTTCATTAAACATTTCCTGAGCACTCCTCTGTACACACACACGGCACAGTCCTTGCTCCCTGGAAGGTTCCAGTCCTGGGGGAAGACATAGGCAGGTAAACCATTACAACAGCAGGAGCTAATGCTACAGCTGAGTGAGAACACAAAGCTTGGGGAAGCCTGCAGGAGGGGCGTCCTTACAGAATGAAGGGAGGGAGGGAGGCACGCAGGAAGGAGGAAGGTAGGAGTTGTGGGAGGGCTTCCTCAGAGCCGGAGAAGGAGGTGAGTTGTGGAGCATGTTGAAGTTAGCTAGCCAGACAGAGGGAGAGCTGAGGGAAGGCATGGGACAGCAGCAGGGATGGCAGGAAGGTCACTGGGTCTGATTCAGGGATAGGGAGGAAAAGTTCAGGGGGAAGAGAGGATTAGGGGGGATGAGAGCCGACAGCCTAGAAGATTTTGAAAGCTTACTATGTCATGCATGTCAAAGACATTGGGCTATGTCTTGAAGATATTGTTTCACCTTTGAGGAATTTAAGCTTGAAAATTATATGAGAAGTTTGGTGGTTTAGAAAGATCACTCCTGACACCAGTATGGGAAGCAGACAGCCTGGTTAGGAGGCTCTCAAAATAATCTAGGCAAATGAGGATGAAGCCCTGAACGAAGGCTCTGGAGCTCTGGAAACAGGAGAAGATTCCAGAGACTTTCCTGGGCTATAATCCCTATGACCTGATGATGAGGTGTGGGGAGATGAGGGTCAGGGAAACATGAGGGCGGCATCCAGGTTCTGACTGTGTGGGACGATTTACTAGGCAAGAAAGAAGAAACATTGAAAGGTGAATTTCAGAAACAACTTAAAAAATGCTTAGGTACTAGATGCTTTCTTTTCTGTTTATAGATGGTTGTAAATCAGGATTCTTTGGGCCTTGGAGCCAAAGTATCTTACTGTATCAAGTATCAAGGTCTTACTGAGTTCCAGTGCTTGGTTTTAGTGCCCAGACTATAACCAACAGTATGACTTTCCCTTCCCTGTGGACTCACATGGTGGTCTCAGAATTCCTAGAGGGTGAGAATGGAAACCACAAAACCTGTCGTGGCCTGGGCTCAGAAGTCACACCAGAGCACTTTCACTTCCTTCTGTGTGCCAAAGCATAAGTCATGAGGCCATTAAGTGATTTCAATAATTTACATGTTGTGAAAGGGGAGCCTGGGTGGCTCAGTCAGTTAAGCATCTGACTGTTGATTTCAGCTCAGATCATGATCTTGGGGTCCTGGGATCAAGCCCCACATTGGGCTCACACCGAGCATAGAGTCTGCTTGAGATTCTTTCTCTCTCCCTCTGCCTCCGCTCATGCTCTCTGTCTCAAAATAAATAAATAAAATCTTAAAAAGATACGTAAAGTGAAAGACCAGCACAGCTAAGATAGAGAAGAAGAGAAGAAAAGAGGAAGCCTATTGGTGCAGATGGGTTGGAGAAGACCTTCCTAGGAGTTGATTCTGAGCTAAGAAATAAAGGACGAGAAAGAAATAGGAGAGGGGCATTACAGGGAGAGGGAACAGCTAGAGCAAAGGTCCTGAGGCAGGCAAGTGTTGGCTGAAGGGATTGGAAGGAGCTTGGCTGTTGGGAATGCTTTGTGCCTAGAGGGTTAAGAGAGATGACCCAAGTGTAGCCCCCCAAAATCCACAGTGGGCACATAGTAGGGCTGAATTTATGTTGGTTTCTTTCCTTCTAAAAAATGGAGGTAGAAATATGTTAAATTCAAGATGGTCATTAGATAGGAATCTATTAAGTTGAAGTTTTATTGCATAAGGCTCAGATTAGGGAAAAAACAAAAACAAAGTGTTTCCCCAGGGGTAGGTGTTGAAAGATTGTAGCTGCTTTGCGAAGGAGTGCCCACTCTAGATGTTTCTTAATGGCATCTCTGACCTTTCCTTAACATTTATTTCCCGTTAATGAGTAGTGCCCTAGGTCAAGAATGTCTAGAAGCCATAGGTAACTCTTTAGGTTTCCAGGACAGAAACCTGAGGGAAGGCAAAATCTGAGAAAGGAAGGAGGCTGGAGGCCCCCCTCTGAGAATCCCTTCTCCTTGCAGGGTGTGACTGTGACTTAGAAGGCGTTCTCCCCGAAATATGTGATTCCTATGGAAGGTGCCTTTGCCGCCCTGGAGTCGAGGGCCGTCGGTGTGATGCCTGCCGCTTGGGTTTCTACTCATTCCCTATTTGCCAAGGTAAGGGTGCAGCACACAGCCCAGTGATGGTCCATCGCATGAGGTCAGTTAAGGGGGCAGCACGCAGCCCAGTGATCGTCCATCCCGTGAGGTCAGCTCCCTGCTGAGGAGATGCAGAGGCACTTGCTGGCACAGCTGTGTAGCTTGCAGGTTAGCAAGTGAGCCCCTGGCTTATAGATATGAGTAACAGGTGACTGTCCCCCTACCTGGGCCACGTCCCCTCCCTTCTTTTGTCTTTCCCATCTTACCCTTCCTCCTCCCCGGTGGTCAGCATGTGGGCTCTGGAGCTGCTCAGGTACGAATCCTGACTCCGGAAGGGACGTGGTAGCTGAGTGTTTAGGAGGCTGCTGGGCAGATGCGGAGAGGGGCCAGCAAGCATGAAACCACAGACTTCTCCCCACCACGTGTTCTGTGTACTAGCAAGAGTTTCCGAAGGGGACAGAGGGTGGGAAGAGGAGGTGTCTGACCCAGTCCCTAGAGCAAAAGAGGAACGTCTTGAGTGTTGGGCGAACAAGTGAATGAATGAATGGGTTTACCCAAGTGCTCCTCTGTCTCCCCACCCACTGCCCGCTAGTGTTCTTCCCCCAGCAGGGGAGGAAAGAGAAGAAGAGAGGATTATCTGTTGGGGCTCAAGGCCGGAACTGAACCCCCCCCACACCCGCCCCGGGTGTTATCAACAGACGGGGACTTGTACTCTGTCCTTAGGTGCTCAGCTCCACTATTAGGGCTGGAGGGAGGCTGCAGGCGGGGCTTCCAAAGAGGCTCCTGATAGAGGGGCTGAGCCTTAAACCAGATTGCGGTAGGTAGCCCAGCTCTAGGACAGAAGGTCTGTCGTCCTGCAGCCTTGAGAGCCATTGCTTGGTACCCGGGAAGCCAGATGGGCCTCAGCTGCGGAAATGCACGGTAGATGTGGGAAGGCAGCCTTCTCCTTACTCCCACCTTTCTGATCTTGTTCGAGTACTAATTATTTACAAAACCAAGTTGGCATCCGGACATCCAGAACCCAGCTCCAGGAGAATCTGGGAAGTGCTGTTTGGAGCTTGCCAGCCCCGGCTTGGAGGCTGTAATCTGTCTTCAGCAATCTCATCCCCCAGGTCAGCTGCTGGAAAACCATGGAGGCAGGTGCAGACAGGGCCCACTGTGCCCGCTCCCAGAGCTGGAGGCTGGAGTGGTGAAGCCCCAGGCTCATACTAGGTGTCCCTTGCGGCAAGTAGCTTACCCTGTCTGCTTCTTGGTTGCCTCGCAATCCTACAGGTTACAGACGCACTGACTGCGATGCTCTTAGAGCCCGGGAAGCACTCTCTTGTATGGAAAAGGAAACGCTTCCTTTTCCTCTTGGTCCCCCGGTATACCCCGCTCACAGACCTTTATCCTCTGCCCCACTGTCTCAGCTTTTCCCCCTGGGAGCCACAGAAGCTCCTCCTCAACCAGAGAACTTCAGGATTAGCAGTTGGAATGCCCAGTGTGCTTCCAGTGGAAACATCCTTTTTCGGGTGATGCTCATGGTCACAGCATGTGAATCATACTGGAGGCAAATTCTGTTCAACGGCCTCCAGGGTCTTACATGGCAACCTTGTCCTTGCTCCTGACATTGTTTCTTTGGAAATGTATCCCAGATCATGAAGTTGCACACACAAGCTGGGGATGATTACATTTCTGATTTTAAGCTGGAGACCCCGTGTGAGGAGTCAGTGGGAGGCAGAGGGAGTGGAGACCCTCCATTGCAGACGTCCGTGAGGGCCCAAGCCCAGAGGAGCTGATGGTGGGAGAAGGCAAGGTGGTTGAAGATGAGGTCTTTTCACCAAAAGCAGGGGAAGGGTTGGGGAGCCAGGCTGTGTAGCTCACTCCCCTCCTGTAACAGGCAAGAATTTTCTCACGGCTCTTTGTTTTGTTGACACTCCCCCAATTATAGCGTACACGTAAGCTGTTTGGGGGCAAGGTGTGGACAGAATGTCTCATGTTAATTTCCCCATAATCTGCCGACATCCAGGTTGGTTCTGCTTCAGCTGTCATGCTCGTGATTAAAAGTATCCCAAAGGTTTTCTTTCCCCCCCTGCTTACCAGCCCCAACTCCAGACTCATTCTGCTAGAATGAATCACAAATATTCCAACTTCGTCATTCCCTTGGGCAAGGCTGTCAGATTGTGCCTTTGTGTCTGTGGATATAAAGGTGAAAAATAATGCAATATCTTAAGAATGCCCTTTTCCCAACACTGCTTCACTACTAGACGAATTCATTTTAAGGCAGGTGGAAAATACGAAGGTGTATTCATGACAGAGCAGAGGGAGGTGGGGCTTCCAGAATGGCTGAGTAGGGAGCTCAGTGGGACTCTCTTTCCAACAAAACAAAACTTTAGCTGGTAAAGAATTTTCAATAATCATTTAAAATCTCTGGAAATTGTCCTAAGAGCAAATGAAGAAACATTTATTTAAGAAAATCTAAATATCAGTAAGATCAAGTCTGATTAAGATCCAGCTCTGTTATCCCTGCCACCCCAACTGTGTGTTTTAGAAGCTCTACCCTGGGCATGGACAGCCAAGAAGACGAGGGTTCACTTTCTTCTAAATTCCTGTTCTGGGGCTCCAGTGTCACCCGGGGATGAGTAGGCTGCTGGCATTTCTCATTGCCCCCTGGCTTGTGTCAGAAAGCTGTATTCCAGGCAGGCTCAGCAGAGAGGACCGTGTCTTCTTTCTCTGCCCAGCCCCACCAGTATGGTGGAGATTACAGCAAGCCCTGCGGGCTGAAGATACCGGAGCTGGATCACCCACACCCCAGCTGGCTCACAGAGCAGGAGTCCCAAGCTAGGCGAGGCAAACTGACACAACCACTCCTGTGCCCAGTGCCTACTCATAGAGCAGAGGTGTCACACCAGGGAAAGTGGGTCCTCATTTTCAAGTGTGGTGGTCTGGGGGCTCTGAACAGCCAGGAGGACAGGGAGGTCATAAAGACAAAGAGGGAATTATTTTAACAGAGCGGGGCAGAGGGTGTTGTAGAAAGCAATGTAGATCTTGGTGTGGAGCAATTACAAGGAAGCTGGTAACTCACAGCAGCAGAGCAAGGGGAAGTTTAGTAGAGAGAATCAGAGGAAGTTCACCCAAGAAGAGCCCTTCTGATGTCACAGACAAGTCTGCAGGTTGGGAAGGTTGTGTGCAGGTGCTAGATCACACCTCTTCAGGAGGAGTCCCATCAGACGGTGGGGGAAGACTCAGAAGCATCCCCACACCATACACAAATCCATTATCAGAGGGTCGTAGCCACACCGGCAGAAGGGGTTTAAACGTTGACCAAATAAGCTGCTCGGACACAGGGTAACTCCTAAGGAGAGGAGAGGGTAACTCCTAATGAGAGCGTAGTCATCGCGGGTTATCTAGAACTGTGTGGTGCCCAAGGCTGCGTCCTCTCAGGAGCCACCAGAGAGGACGAATCCAAACTAGTGGTCCCTGGCTGAATTTTCCAAACTTCTGTAGCCACCTCCAAGCTATGCACATATGCAGTGGGACAGGGTATAAATGACTGGCCAAGCAGGTTCAAGCACAGTGTTCAGCTAACAGGTTGTACATATGGACCCAGGGGTGCCGCCGGGGAAGCCAGGCCAGAAGATAAACACAAGGGGCAATGTCTGAGTGGGAACGTCAGAGGCTGGACATTGGAGGGGGAAGCAGACCTTGAAGATCTATTTCAGCCACGTCATTAAACAACCAACCAACCAAGCCAAGAACAATCCTGGTGTTGCTACAGTATGTTACCTAGAATGTCCTGTATTTCATAAAAAAAAAAAAAATGAGATGCAAAGAATCAGGGAAGTATGACCCATATGAAGGAAAATAGCAGCCCATAGAAACAGCTTTTGAATGGGCTCAGGTGGTAGATTGGCGTGTGTGTGTGTATGTGTGTGTAGTGTGTTTATTGGGTCACAGTGTACTATTTCTTACTGTGGATGTAGCTATAAAAACCTGAAAGCTACCTATGTTAAATAATCCTGGAGGATTTTATCTATGATTCTGAGTAGCTGGTTTCTTTTCCTTCATTCTACTCTTTGGTATTGTGGTTTCAGACTCTCAAATAGCTACTGTCTGAAAATCATGGAGTGTTTGGGTGAATTTAGGATCCCTCTTTCATCTGGAAAGTGTTGCCCAGCAGATCACAGCGATCTTCTGATAAACCCGTTTCACCTGGGCCAGTTTACATGGCATAATTCCTTCCTAAACCTGTTTAGGGGGCAGGCAGCCACTCTCTTACGCTTTACACATTATCTACCGGACAGGAGTAAGAACCAAAAGGCATGAGGAGCTCATCTGAGATGCACACCCATTTCATCTTTCATCCATAGTCTTGCCTTTACTCTTCTGCCTTAAACCCAACAAGAAGAAAGGAGGATATAGATGTTAATGCCCTGAGATTTGACCTTAAACTGGGTTTTGACTTAATGATTTCTCTCTTACCTAAGGGAGTTCCGAAAAGCCCTAGAACTTACTAGCATGTTCATGTAGGCACGACATGTAGGGCGACATTCACCAGCACTGAGTGAAGTTGAAAAGAACCACGAGTTTAGTTATAGCAGGAGCTGTGTTTTCCGTGTCACTTTTATGTGGTTTAATTTGCACAGTTTCCTTAAAGGGGCACCGTGATTCTGATTTGCTTATAGGAGCTTATAGGAACTCTGCCCATTGAAACCTGGATTTCTATAATAAACCTCAAACTCCGGTCATTTTTTCCACTTAAAAATGACTGTTTTTTAAGTATATGCTCTCATTCTTTGAACTGCAGAGCAGTATTACTCCATCTAGATGGAATTTGGTTATCTGGCTCATGTATCTGGAGCAAAAAGGAGAGAACCAGGCAGTAAGACCCCTCAACCCCTATTGCCTCTGTAAAGTGAAAAAGGACAGTTTCAAAGTTCTGCGCTAAAATCCATGCATTTCACTTCTAGAAGATCCCGTAGGCCCTCTCTTACCTATGTCTTTTTTTTTTTTTTTAAATAATTGTGTCAAGTTTGGTT